GTTCGTTTAACTAAACGAACAAAAAAATAGTTCATGTTCGTTCATTTATTAAATAAACGAACTTCCCGCCGAACGGTTCACGAACGGTTCGCTGAACGTTCGGTTCGTTTACAGCCCTATCAGTACTATAAAAACCATATTTTTTATAATTATTTTTAGATGTATATTATACTATATTAATTATATGGTGCCACCGTTTGAAAAATTTTCTGGGTCCGTCCCTGTACCTAGTTAGCGCTTACCGGCTAAAATGTTGCATACGATGCCGTTTTGATGGACTAAAATCTTACCCGGTAAGGTAAGTGATAGTGTTGAATTTTACCACCAGGTAAGTGTTTGGGTAAACGACCCCGGGGGGTGACAAGGGGTGAGGAATGGAAATGGAAATCATTAATGGTGTCTGGTTTGATGCAATTGAATGGGTCAGTACCGACTGTCGGGTAACGAAACATTCCTCAACAAATTAGGGAGAATGAAACTCATTCCAGTTTCCATTCCCCAGCATTCCCATTTCCATTCTTTGAAACAAACCAACCGCCCCCTAAATATTGTTGAAAATCTGGGTTTCGTGGTTACAATCACTTGGATAATTCTTGGATCATGTATATATCACACTTCCCATATACTATATTTCAACCCTTAATGCCTCAGGTTTCACGAAATCGGTATTGGGAGAATCCTAAGAAGTCACTCTCGTTCTTAAGGCAGAAGACTCGAGTATATAACCCCCTAGATAAAGCGTTTTATATATTTCATATTAGAGATCAATGGTTACGGGTAGTTAGACAATTAACAAACAACTGCTCATTTGCTTGTGAATAAGGTTGATGAAACTAAAATCATCAACAAATCTCTTACAAACCAATTATGATACACAGATTTGTGGAGATAATGGCCCCTGTTTTCTCCCGGAACGCATGGCGTTGCGTTTGGCATATGATCCAGGTTTTGACACCTATATCTGTTACTACTTATTATTGATACTTGTTTCTTTTTTTCTTGTATGACCCTCACATATTTTATGTGCAGAATGACTTAGTCCATGGATGGGGGCTTGATTTTGCTCTTAGAAGATGTGTGGAGGTGAGGCCTCCTACTTTATAGAAACAGAGTTAATTATATATGTACGGTTTAATTAAAAGGGAAAATTGCACCAAAATGGAAACAACTTTCATATGATTCTTATTTTAGGGAACCAACTTTCAAAATCGTCATTTAGGGGTTTTTATCAAACTTTTTGTTTATTTAAGGGTCTGGTTGAACAAGTAACAGGTAATTTAAGGGTCTCTATCAAACTTTTGGTTTGATTTGCCAAATTTGATTTAAACTTTAATATTGATACGGATTGGTTAGATATAAAAATCTTGAATGTGATATTTAATATTTATTTTTTATTGCATCAATTAAATTTTTTCTATTAAATTGATTTTTTATTGCATTAGTAAAAAACAATTTTTATTGTGTTAATTTGGATTTTTTTTGAAAAAATCTTCAGTTTGATATCTAAATTTAAAAAAAATAGATTTTATTGCATTAATTTTTGAAAAAAAAAACGAATTTTAGTTATTTTTCTATAATTATTTTGCAAGTTGGTTCCCCAAAATAGGAATCAGGTCCAAGTTGGTTCCCCAAAATAAGAATCAGGTGAAGTTGGTTCCATTTTGGTGCAATTTTTCCTAATTAAAAATGACATACAAGTGGTTTCTTGCAACACCCAAATGAGTTATATATTTAATGACAATACGGACTACTATCAAGGCAAGGTTTGCTTACATCCTACCCACAGACCCTATCTTTGCGTATGGATATATACTGGGTTCGTTTTGTTTTATTCGCAATTCATGACAAGTTGGGTTTTATGAAACAGCCCGCTCATGAAAAGATAGGAGTTGTAGATGCTCAATGGGTCGTTCATCAAACTGTTCCTTCACTCGGAAACCAGGTCAGTCTTTTACTCGATCCCATTAGTCTCGGACGTTTGGATGTGAAACAGTCGTCGGGTCGTAATTCTTTTCCTTTTTTGTTCTCAGGGCACAGCAGAGAATGGAAAGGCTCCATGGGAAGGGGTAAGGGTTGATTCTCTCTTGAAAAGCTGTTTGTTTTCAATGCAATATCTGTAAAGAACTGATAATAAGGCTTGGGTCGTAACCTTATGGGGTTAGCTCAACTGACAATAAGGATTGGGTTTGGAGATTCTTCTCAAAGGTCACCGGTTTAAGGCCAGCAAGGCCACTGGGATTTTCCTGGCTGTTATCCAGGCCCCTGAGATTGCTGGCTCAGACACCCATGGTTAACAAAAAGGAATTTCGTAACCGACTCCTGTTTGTTTTCAATTGTTTTTGTTATCAGGTGCGGGAGAGGTGTCAAAAAGAGTGGACAACGTTTCAAATACGAATGACGTTAGCGGAAAGAGCGTACCTGAAGATGACGAACAGACTCGATCAACTTAATTCCACAAACAGTTAGGAGGCTGTCTTTATAAGGAAATTTAAAAATAAATCTTAAATTATTAAATACAAGTACCTTATAATGTCACAAGTAGGTTCATCGTCGATGACTCCAGACTATTTATGGTCATTTGGGTGATTAGTCAGTGCATGTAAGCCAACTTGGATACCCATGAATACCTAAAAAGAATTGGGTGTGTATTGGGTGTACTTACACGCCAACGTTTAGAGGTGTGGACATGGACCGGTCCGAGCTTTAGGGGTTGTTTCATTGTTTGTTTACCTCTTAATAGTTCAATTAAGAAACAGACTCTGAATCGTTAAGAGGTGAATCTTGTTTGGCAAAAAAAAGTATGTCTCTTAATGGTTCTAAAACCCTCTTGACATCCCTTAACCATTAAGCGCCCTAATTTCGTTGTAAATAATTACCAAACAATTATATTTCGTTTTGTACTATATCATGATAGTCTCTTAATTATTCTGATCACTTGATCATTATGCATCGATTTATTCAGCAACTGCCAAATAGTCCCTTAATCGTATCGAGGAAAAACGGTCCTAAAAAGGATCAGTTAATTTGGAGATTTCTCCAAAACTCCATATTTAAGAAAGTGCAATAATATTTAATTCTTTTTCACTAATAATAGACATTGAAATTAAGTATTTAAGTGAGAAATAATATTTTATTAAATGTATTGAATATTTAATAATATAGTTAATAAAAATCACTAAAATCAAGTAACCGTTGAAGTTGAGTGTAATTTTTTTAGAGATTTTAATTTTAATACTCTATTCTGGAAAAATTATAGAATAACAATTGGAAATTCTCCAAGTTATTGTTAGGGTGTAAACTAGTCGAGCTTTTAACGAGCTACTCAAGCTCGTTTATCTCGAGCTTGAACTTAATACTTATCGAGTTCAAGTCGATCTCCAATATAAAATAAAGATCGTCTGACTTAACGAGTCGAGCTCCATAAGAACAATGTTCGACTCAACTCGTTTGAAAACTCGATTAAACTTTACGAATCAAGCCGAGCCGAGCTATTCGAGCCAAACATATTTATATATTTACAAATTATATAATCAAAAAACAAAAATCATCAATTTTGAATTAATAAACGAGTTAATCGATCTCTAATTCGAGCTCAAACCAAACCCGAGTTTGAAAAAGTTAACCGAGCTCGAAACGAGCTCGAATAACCTGCTACTCGACTCGACTCGTTTACGTTTGTAGTTATTTCAATATCATTCCCTCCTAAAAAAATAACGTATTTATTAATAGAATTTTGTATTTATTTTTAAAATTAGTTTTCAAACGAAAACCATCGTCCTCCGAGTCATCTTCCAAACTCCCTCCGCTCCATTTTTTCAAATTTCTTTTCACCATTTTCGATTCAATCCTTTCGTAGGGTTTCAGAAAGCCACCAGATTCTGTAACCCTCTTTCTACTGTTCCTGCAAACTCCATGGAACTAGATGATGAAGATTGGGAGCTCATCAACGACGATGGCTTCGTTTACAAGCGCCTTCGCCTTCATCCCACCACCTCCGCCGCACATCCACCGGCGGCGGATCCTGCTGTCGTAGAGAGGAATCGGAACGAAAGAAAGAAGACGATACTGGCAAAACTCAAAACAAGGTACCAGAAGGAGATTCACGATTGGGAACTTTTGTCGAACACCTTGCAGGCGTTGCAAAACCGAACGAAAACTCAACCACCACCGTCGATGTCACCGGATCTGTCTATATCTCAATCGCCGGAGCATTCATCGGATTCCACTTTTCGGGATCTCACTGAAACGCTACTCATTCAGGTATTTATTCACTCGAATTCCCAAATTTTGTTTGTAAACCCTAAATAGAGCTCATATGGATCTTATCGCAAATTGTCCCAAAAAAGGAAATTTTCTTAGGGATTTGAATCAGTAAACACAAATTTATCTTAATTTGGGGGTAATTTGATCAGGTTGAAGCTCAAGAAGCATCTATAAATGAGATTTCAAACTTATGTGATGTTGCTGAAGCTCTTTGCAATGCTCAAGAACAACTGTTGAAGCAGCCATTTGTGTATCTACCAATTTGGGAATCATCCCCACGAAAGCTAATCACTTCATTATGTGAAGAATGAGATTTTTTTCGGAAATCGACCAAAATATCAAATCTTTTGTAACCAATTTCATTTTTTAGCCATTTTTTCAATTGAATTCGCATTTTACCCCGAGTTTACGTCAACGGGTGCATAGAGCCTATTTTTATATTAAAAAGATAGAAAAAAATTCTATGCAAATTTGAGTAAGGAAACACATTTGCGTAAAGAATTTTTTTCCCATTTTTTTAATATGAAAATAGGTTTTACGCAGACGCCTTATGTAAACTTTGGTTAAAATTGAAATTTAGTGACAAAAGCAGCTAAAAGTTGAATTTGGTTGAGGTGATCGGCTATTTTAGTCAATTTCCCATTTCTTTTTCTTCCATGAATCTTAAAAGAGAGAGAATCTCTTGTTTCTTGATTTGTGACATAGATATATAGAGGGAGAATCAAACTAGAACATAAATAATAGAACCCGAGAACGGTCAAATCATATGTGATTTTGCACTTAAATCACATGCGATTACGGAATATTGTCAACGCAAGCATGTGCACTCGACTTGGCCAGCGACCTAGGTCGCCCGTAATCACATGTGATTTAACAATAGAATCACATGTAATTAGATAGTTCTCGTGTTCTAGTTTTTAGTCATTGTTCTCGTTTGGACCCGACTCTATATGTATATGTATGTATATGGTGAATGTTGAAGATAAAAAACCGTTATGGAGCAAAGATTTGGGTGCTTCGACGAATGCAAGTTGGCCAGGTTTCGATTTGAAGGAAGGAGATAGATTAGTTGATGTTGTAGTTATAGTTGTACTTGTGTTATTGAGATAAAAAGAGGATCTTGTGAAGGTGAATGTATGTATATACAGAAGTTCATAGGTATCAACTTTCACTATGTTTTTAATTCCATATTCATGTTTATGTTTTACTTGCTTCTTGGTGGCCATAAGTGCCATTTTTATGACATTTGGAGTGGTTGAAAAACTAGTTGTTGGCTGATAAGTTAAGTGATAGATCGATGCTATATGACAATGTTGATTTCATAAAAGGGTATGTTAGAAAAATACTTGGAAAAAGTTAAGGAATATAATTGTAAAAAAATGGAGAAAATTCCCTAAAAAGATTGGGGGTGGTATAATAACTTGGTTTATAAAAGGTTTCTTTTCAATATAATTTTAAAAATAAATAAATTAAGGGGTCGTTCATGAGCACTTATTAGGTAAGTGTTTACTAGGAGTCGTTATTCTTGCTAGGGGTACTCAAAAACCTAATGGACCCAACTTGAAATAACTCAACCCGAAGTAATCCGATGTTTAATTGAGTTGTAAAATTTTCAAACTGTAGGTATCAGGTTGATACCGGGTTACTATTTTTTGAACCTAATCCGATGAACCCGATATCCTTTTACTTATTGGATTTAATATGATTGTTGAATTTTTATTAGTATATACATTAGACAATTGTACTATCATGTACACTCTTCATATAAACATATTCCAAATTTATTCACATCTTTATATAACTCATTCGTATATATGTTCAGTAACTGTGAACACATATATGTAAATTGAGAAAATTAACTGAATATAAAATACGTAAGAAGTACGGATAAGTTGTATCAAATGGTTGATGATGGAAAAGAAATTATGATTAGAGAAATAACATATTCAAGGTTAGAAAAATATTTTGATGTACCAAAATATTAACCTGATTAACTGGACCAACCCTTACGGTTTGGTTTGGGTTGAGTTACACTTTGGTTTGAGTTGGGTTAAGATTTTTCAACCGCAAGCGCTGGGTTGGGTTGGGCTATTTGAATGTCTTCAATCCGATCAACTCAACCCATGAGCACCTTTAATACTCACGTGTTTTATAGGCTAACATTTTCAGTCATAAAAGATGAATTATTGGTAATTGTCTTTAACCTTTAAGAGTTTATTGGGTAAAAGTTTTTTTCCATCACTTGCAAGTTAAAAATCATTGTTATGTTTCTTACCGGATAAAATTATTGATCATTTTCATGTTCTTTCGGTAAGATAAGTGACACATGATAAACCACCTTAAAATATCCATTATTGTAAGCTTTTTCAATAGTGTCTTTTCCAAAAAAAATAGTAGACCTACAAAAAAAAATGTTATCGAGTTCGCAGTGCAATAAAAAAGGTAAGTTTTTCAACTTTTTTACAAGCACGTTTCCACGGATATTCCAATCTTTTTGGAATATCTATTACATCTAAAACTTAAACAATTAACGTCTTTTAGAAAATCAGGAGTTCAAACCTCACCAAAAATGAGAAGGGCGTGTGATTTTATTTGTTGCATTTTCCATGTATAAACAATTAACAATCTGAAACCTAATTTTGGACTATAACTTTACACAAGGAAATCAAAGGCACTAAAAACATTTAGAATTGGGCCTCAAAATTTTAAAGTGCTGTTCAAAATATTACATTTAACATGGTAAAAAACAACCTTCCAATGTGATTATAAATTGATATCAAAATCTCTTTTGTGCCAAATAAGGGAATGTTGCAATGAACAAACCCCTATCTCGTACTACATTTTATCCTACAAATTCAATAAACAATTGGGAGTGTTTATTTTGATGATAATGTTTTGATATCGATTTTGCTGAGAAGGGAAGGTACGACTTTCACGGGTGCAATGTCGAACCCAGCCTTCTTGCAAGCATTCTCGAGACATTCAACTTGTGAAGGACCATCCGGGCAAAAAACAACCACTGCACCGCCGCTGCCTGTAAATTTTGATGCGGCACCGACCCTTCTGGCCACCTCCACCATCTCTATGTTCAGAGCACCGAGGGCAGCATCACTAAACATCCGCCTGAGACAAAATCCAAATTCTCAAATTTCACAACGGAAATGTAAATTACTAAGAACATCTCCAACAAATTCCCGAAATAGAGAATCAAAAGTCAATATTTCCAAAGACAAATGACTTTCATCTCCACCCGTTTCTTCATTTTAGAGATTACAATATTAATTATATTATTAAATATCAATACAATTGATAAAATAACATCTAATTCTGATTAGTAGAGAGAATAGTAAATAAATTTTTTCCTAAATAATCGTTTTTGGATTCCCCAAATTTTGACCAATAACATGCTGATCTTGTAACATTTGATGACTAAAATATCAAGTGTATCATCCACTTTGTTGCATTAATTGAGGAAAAAGAAAATTTGTTACACTAGATAGGAACAAGGGACCGTTTACCAAATGCTAGCCCAATAAGCGCTTATGGGGTGTCAATCACCTTACCGAGTGAGCATGGCAAGAACTGAGAATCTTACTCGGTAAGAGCATAGGAAGGATCAATAATCTTACACGGTAAATGAGAGAACAGACTCTTACCCAGTAAGCCCTCACCGGATAAAAGACGCTTACCAACAATCCATTTTGATGGCCGAGAAAATATTACCTGACAAGACGAGGGTGGTGACTCTTTCAGGTAAGTGCTTACCCAACAAGCATTTGATGTAAATGGCCCATAAACCAAAGTTTGTTACATTTTGATGCATTTTACCTAATGCTAAATGTAAACCGAACCACGTCAGTATATCCCATAGGGGTAGAGTCTGAAAGGTTAAGATGTATGCAGACCTTGCCTCAACCCCAAAGGGTAGAGATTTAAATTGCTAAATGTCCAAAAACATAATTTCCCGCTTTCGATGTGAATCAATTCTGCAACTATCATGTTATTTTTGTATAATGATCTAAAGTTTCAGTAAACCATATGTTTTACCTTCGAAGATCAAAGTTTTGATTCATAAGGGTTGCAAGTTTTGCATAGTCCTTTTCAAGTAAAGCCGATTTTCCTTCGAGAGCTAAGTTGGCCACCTCCTCCATCGATGATATTATGAACTCGTCTCCATCTAGCCATCTTTGTCGAACTGTACTATGTACCTGCAGTGATGGTATGTAATCATCTTTTGGAAGTATATATAGTATTTATGTCGGAAATTGCTCAAAATAGCCTTTTCAATCTTGTACATTTACCTCTTAGCCATTTCTCTCCCAAAATTTCAAAAATGTTACTACCTCCGCAAGTAGCAACCCCTCAACTTGCAGAGGGGTCAAAGTGTAAAAAAAAGTTTTTGAACATGGTTCGCAAGTATAGGGACCAAAACTTTAGAAGTCCAAATACTACCTTTAAACAAATTACATATTTTTTTTTTTACATTTTGACCCCTCCGCAAGTTGAAGGGTTGCTACTTGCGAAGGAAGTGACATTTTGGAAATTTTGGGAGAGAAACGGCTAAGAGGTAAATTTGTCTGATAGAAATGGGTCATAATATGCTATTTTTATGCGGGTTTTCGGCAGCCAGAAAGGAAATCCATGTTCCATGTATCACAACAAGAAGCTATGTAATTTCTAGATGATATGTGAAAAAAGTTGATACGGCCTTTAAAATACAGCTGTCGGTGTCAGACCAGCTTGCGCACATCTCGACTAATTTCATAGGGCCCGGAAGATAAAAGGAAAATCTCCATTGGCCCTGAAGACTGAGAAGACTCGAACTGACTACCTATGGGGAGAAGCATCAACGCCTAGCCTTTATTTGTTAGTCGAGATGACCCTTTAAAACACAACTATTACCTCTAGAAAATGTGGAAAAATTCATTCTTATTTCTTATCCCATACAACTCAATAAAGGAAGGTTTCTGCTGATATCTATATGTACAACTGTAAGGGTCTGTTTGTTAGTAAGTTAATGAGCTTAATGGGACTCACAGCTTATTCAGTCATATATATATACGACTGTTTGGTAGTGGCTTAATGATATAGAAAGTGACTTATTCAGTAAGCTTCTAGGGGGAGCTTTGTGCAGAAAGCCAAGTTTGTTCCATACCCGCCCTTCCCAATTATGAAACACGCTCCTTCCATCTATGAAAAACCCTCCCAAACAAAAACCTTCCCAATTTATACAGACAGGTGAACCCACACATACATGACTTAATGGAAAACCAACCAAACAAACCCCAAGTGCTTTAGTAGAAAAAGTAAATGGAAAGTTCCCTCAAAGGAGTCCATCCTGCAGTTTGCTTATAGAATTTGAGTATAACTATGTTTTTTGGTTTTTCCAATTCGTTGTTCTTTTCTTCCCTCGGGTACATATATGTTGAGAATACAGACACCCACACATGTATCATGTGTGCGTCTGCACATATGTATATAAACAACTCACAGATGCACAAAAGACATGGAGGGACGTAAAAATATAGAATAAGCAATTGAATGCTACTAACCTTCCCAGAATCACTAGGATTTTCAGCATAGATGAGATGCAGAGGTGGGAGAAGACTTGTATCTAACTGCGTGTAATTGCCATGACCATATTTATCCATGCTCTCTTTGTTGAAATCCTGCAAACAGAAGATAGTTTATATATATATATGTATATGTATATGTATATATACATTTATATTAAGCTTTAAATAGGTCAAACAAACACAAACATAAATGATTCATGTAACACACCATGTATACAAGGCCTCCATAAACTTGTGCTACTCTATCCTGGAGACCAGCAACAATTCCAAGTTCCTTTTCTGCATTTAGGATAAGTTGAGGTCTCATCTCCACAGCTATTTTATCTCTGACATCATAGAAGTCAAGAAGGCAGCTAAAGGCAGCACATACAATGGCACTGGAACCAGATAACCCTGTCTGAGACATAAAAAGGTAGATGAAAACACATATTTCAGAGTTTTCATTTGAAGTTCCATTCGAAAAGGTTTCTATGGCAAATAGCATACAAAAGATGATCATCAGCAAGATGTCAAAAATAACAGTTGATCATCATGCAGATGAATCAGTACATTTTCATCAACATAATTGTTGGATGCAAGAAAGAAAATAAAACATAAATTCTGTGTAATAGAAACTTAATAAAAGAGAAAATGGTTAATGTACCCGTGACCGACTTCTTGTTTTATTCAATCTGGCAAGTGTAGTTCTGTCATTTTGATGGGAAGCAATCTAGGACTGTCTTATAGGCAAGTGTATCATGGGGGCAAAGAAACTTGGTTATGAGGTGTCAAATTAGAACTTGAAATAGGTGGTCCAACTTATGGATTTCTGTATACCTAGGCTATGTTTGACAAACTAGCTCAAAAGCTTACGTTTGGCCGATAAGTTAGCCGATGAACTAGTCATATTTGGAAAAGGTTGGATGACAATGTAAAATGACCTATAAAGTCGTATTAAAAAATTAATTGGGAAAAATAAGTGGCATAATTGGAAAATGAATTTGGAAAAAAAACCCCGGAGCTTATTGATGCACCCACGTGAAGTAATTTTTCAAAAACTAGCATGTGGCTAACTACACGAAGCTTTTTTAATAAACTCAGAAAATAAGCTAGCTTGTGGTTGCCAAACTGCAAAAGGCTCTGGCAGAAGGAAATCACAAAATTATCGACCAATTACATATACATTGAAGAGCTAAAGCCGGGACAGTCAAGAAAAGGAAATACTTATTCGATTTCCAGATGTACCTGACGAGGAATATTGGTATCATATGAAAGAGAAAAGTTGTTGTTGTGAAGATCAATCCCTTGTTCTTTGCAGTATTTGTTAAACACTTTGCAAGTTGCCATAAGCAAGCGCACACCTCCATAATAACCTTCATTTTCCAACCGGTTCACCTGTAACACAAAACATAAGAACAAATTACCCTTTCTGAAGCCCATCCTTATTCCTTAAGGATCTAACTAAAACCTAATGGCAGAATTGAAGCTTTCACAACATAGCCAAGAACAAACTATAGCGGTCAAAATATTCGATCTAACCTAGAACTTGATGGCCGTAACTTCCGATCTGAAAAGAGATGAAATCTATTAAGATTCAGTTCAACTCATATTTGTAAGAATTCAAGTTTGAGAACTTTAACCGGCTTTGACTCCCAAAAATCAAAATCTACCCCTATTATTTTGGAACAAAGTAATCTCGAAATGAATCAATTGGCTGTGCTCAATTTTAGCTACATTGAATTTGAACTACATCAAACCCTTAGCAAACAAATAATCATCACAGAAACGAATGAAGAACCGAATCGAAACAAAGTAGGAAAACACAAATCAACAATCATAAATTAAAAAACGTTTTAACAGCAATGTAAAGAAACTAAGCTCAACAGGCAACGACGCGCTGAATCATAAAATAGATCAAAAATCATAAATTAGAAGATGTAATAATAGAAATTTCAAAGAGAATCGAGAAATACCAGGTGAGATAGGGAACTGAATTTAACGAGATCGTGAGTAGGATGAGGAACGATGACGAGATCTGAAGAAGGCTCCAGACGAACAGAAGCCCAAAAATTGGAAATGTTTAAGGAAATCGTACGTCCGTAGTACACATCGCTTGGATTACCAAGAAGTCCAATTCGAGCATAGGCCTTGTGCTCGATTATCTCCGCCTCCGCCGCCGTCGCCACCGCCGGTGATCCATTTCCTTCCATTCTTCCTTCTTCTACTTGCTCAAATCTTTATCCGATCTGTAACGATTTTCACGAGTGAATCCAGATAAGACATAACACACACACACACACACACACACACATATATATATATATATATATATATATATATATATATTATATGGATCTGTCTCCTTGATTCGGTGACGTAATAGTCTCACCTCCGATCTATCTGTACCGCCAAAACCATGAGCCATTAAATCCGATTTTAATATATATCCAAAAAGAAAATCGAATCATATCTATAATTAATTTGTTTTCCATTTGTTGTTTCATGCTTTGATATAAAATAATTAAATGGCAGAATGATTAAGAGATTTTTATAATATGGTGTAAAATTAAATATAATTGTTTGGCAATTATTCAGAATAAAATTACGGTGTTGATTGGTTAAGGGAGATCCAAGATACAAAATCATTCAGTGGGTTTTAAAACCATTAAGAGATAGACTTTTTTTTATTAAACAAGATTCACCTCTTAGCGATTTAGAAGCTAGGCATGGCAATGAGACAGGTTTTGTAATCCCCGGTCCCGGTTTGAAGTAACATCCTTCGGCCTCGGCGGGTACGAGGATTAACATCCCGTTCCCGGTTAAACATATGTCAATCCCTGGTCAAACCCCATAAATAATATCCTTTAATTTGATTCTATTGGGGATTCTCGGCCCTAGGATCCGTTTTAGCAAGGAATCACCGTTCCCGTTCGGGTCGGGTGAATCGGGTTCCCCACCGGGTCGGGGCAAATCACCATCCCTATTAGAAGCTACCACTTAATATAACTATTAAGAGGTAAACAAACAACCCCTAATACTTCCTTCCCAAAATAAATTATTGTGATATTAGTGTCAGACATTATTTGGTATCATTGAGATCGATTCAGATGATGATGCAAATGTAAGTCAGTAAGGAGATATGGAATGCATACTCATAAATGTTGTTCTTATCACCTTAGATTGTCATATGACAAGGGTCAAAGAGGTCGCGCCCCCTTACAGGGTTCGAGGGGCAGAGCCCCCTTGGAGTCTATGAAGAGTCGTGCTTAGTAAAGGTTTCACCAAGAATAAATCTGATAATGAATTCAGACATCTGATCCTTATTGATTTAAAGATCTGGAATGTAGATTCAAGACTTAAGAAAGTTGGTTAAGTCATAAGTCTGAAACAATAGATTCAGACATCTGAACCTTGAGTCAGACTTATGAATTTCCAGACTTAGGAAATTTGACTAAATTCTAAGTCTGGACCAACGGGGTTAGAGATCTGGACTAATGGAGTCAGACTTCGAATTTGAACTTTGATTCGGTTGTAACTGTTCTTTGATCTTATCCATTAATGGTTATTATTGTTTTACTGCTCGTAATTGTCGATTTGTGTTCTGATGAATATATATATATATAGTGAAATCAGTGCCTTATTTCGCTATGAAAATTTCTAAATTATCCCGATACTGATTTCGTGTGAACATAAGGCATTAGAGGGGTGAAATATAGTATCAAAATAATACTTCCATCCCAAAATAAATGTTTGTAATTAAAAATGACATACAGTTTTATAAATGTATAACGATTACACTTTTTAAATAACTAAATGATATTTTTACCTTTGATGATAGAGAGAAACATAATTAAGGGTGGAATGGGAAAATACAAACTTATTTTTTAAAACGGACACTTATTTTTTAAAACGGACACTTATTTTGGAACAAATTAAAATAGAAATGTGGATACTTAATTTAGGACAGAAGGATAAATTTTTTAAGAAATACTAGAAGCGTATTCGCGCAATGCAGCGAGATATATCTCAATTTTAATTTTTCGTTTTATTTCGTCTCTATAAATGTTATAATATGGTTTATGTGGTTTTCACAAAGGGATAATGTTTTTATTTTTTAATGAAATATAAATTTGAAGATATTATAAAATTTCGAAAATAAATATATCGATATTATTATCAAATTAACTGTTCAAAAGTTATTGTTTCTTTAATGTAATTTCTTTAATTAAAATTTTTTATTATAATTTAATTTAGATTTAATAACGAAATAATTTATTTTTGATTTAATAATATAATTTTTTATAATAATTAAGTATTCTGTTAGAACTAAATGATTATCCTAATCATATTTTAAAAATTTTATATTCAAAATAAAATGTTTATCTTGTATTTAACTATATTTATCTGCAGTTAATTACACAAATTCAAACATGAAGCTTTAACAAGTTGTAGTTACGCACATTTTATTTGTAACATTAAATTTTAAGTAAAGTATGGAGTTGAAGTAACTCACTCATAACGCTTTTTAAAGGATTACATGGTACGATTAAATATAGTACTGTTCGTGGAGTCGATAAGCTAATTCTTGTGGATATCTATTTGCCGTATCTATAAAAAAAATGGATACTCGTTCCTCCGAATCTTTGTAGTTAGGTCAAGAAAGAACCTTAAGATGTGTCGATAAACAGTACTTCATGCATAAAAAATGGTTTTTAAGATTTTTGTCAAATGCTTTATAATATATCATAGATTCTTGTGTTAGTTGCTCTAATAAAATTGATTTTAATTCTCAAACTCCGAATATTTTAAATTATTAGTTCAACTGATAAACGAAAGTTAGATCTCGGCATTCCGTTTTACAAGTCGTTTGCTCGAATTTGATCAAGATGATTGAGGCTTTTTTTCTACTGCTATTTTTAGGATTTCATGAGATTAGTTGAAGTATACACAAGCTGGTTTAGATACACATGATTAAAAAAAAGATGCCCAGCGATCAAATTCAGATCACTGTGTGGCCTACTTAGCAAACACAGATGTCTCATCAGATAGCAGGGCAGCATGTTACGCACTGTGTTGACTATCTATTTATTATGAAATAAGATTCCACATGTGTCGGTGATTGACTGCCATGTAACAAAGATGTGACTGGGTTGTCGATTGCAACATCAATAATGTCTTTAGACTCTTGACCAAGGACCCTATGGTGGACCTCGAAATTTTGATGACGGGACCAGATTTACGAACGTACGATGATCAAGTATGAGAGCATGAGCATTGACATGGCGAAAACATTCAGTTATCTAGGCAAATAAACTTTAAGCATTATAATCAGTAAAGCTTATGTATAAAAAGTTAATAACACTGATAAAAATTCAAACCAGAATCTTTTTAAATCAGTATTCTCTAACGTTATTCGTATTTATCGGGTTAACCTAAAAAAAATGTTAGGTGACATTCTTGAAACAAAATCTTACCAAGTTCTCCAACCACCTAAAAGGTAAGTTTTTTTTTTTTTAATTTTTAAATCAAGATAATTTGAATCTTATTATATAGAAAAAATAAAGATAGATATCAAAGGGTGTTTGATTTAGCGGTATGTGAGTCTTTGGCCTATTAGGAGGTCAGGTGTTCAAACTTCATCAAATATAAAAAGGATGTATAAGTTTATTTATTTTATTTTGCCGTATATAAATATTATATACTTAAAAAAAAACATGTGGGGACATTCTTTTGAGAACTATTTTAATTATGAGAACTACCACATCATGTGTTATTTCATATGATTTTCCCCATCCATGACTACAATTTAATGTAGTGATTAACATATATCAGTTTCACAATGTACTTGTTTTTCATGCACTCGGTTCACAATGTAAACCTTTTTGACGTGTTTGTGAAACCAAAAATATACATTAATTTTTTTTTACATTATGAACCGAATATGTGTGAAACAAATACAATATGTTAATTAGTACATTAAATATTATACTTATATGAAAAACATCATCTGAACAAAACCTTAAGGTGGACGTTCTTACAGATCTGACAATTTTTAGAGTTCTCAAATGATTAAGTCGCTGACAGTATTAATGTTATCATCAATTTTTTTTATTAAAATAAGATTATATATTAAAACAAATAATATGCATCGAATATTTTTTTTATAAAAGGAAAAACAAAAATTAATACCACATTTTCACAAAAAAAACATTTTTTTTAATTGGTGTATTAAAATGGAAAATGTGCAATTGTGCATTAACTAATTTCCTCATAAGATATTAAATAATTAGCATATTGGTATTTATTTATAGTTGGTAAATGTACGTTATAAATGCAAAGATTATGAACATGTTTGAAATCAGATATTTTTTAAATCAGATATTTTTAGCCCTGTCAATGGTTGAGATTATCAGTCGACTCCTTTCCTTTTGTGTCGAGTCACAAGTGTTTACTGATTGACATGTTTAAATAGAGTAATATACAATAGGGCAAATTACATGAAAAAATAACGTGCTTTAACTTGATTCATATTTTGTGTAACGTACTTTCAAAACTTTCATTTTGATACCTAAGATGTAAAATTTTAAACATTTAAGCATTTGAGTAACAAGTCGAAGCATTAACCAGTTACCATGCATTAACCTGTTGTTGTTTTTGAAAAAAAAATTAAACTCAAAATTATTCATATAAGAATCATGTGTTATGAAATATCCCAACAAACTTCATTGTCTCCTTGTGAGATTGTTGCCAAGAATGTACCTACTTTTATTTTTTTTAAATTAATTTACTCTTTTAAATAAATAAATTTACCGTTAAACTCAATTATTAGAAAAAAACACTAAAACACTAAATAAAACTCAACTTCAATCACACACTAAAAATATTTTTAATAACGTATTATATATTATTTTATTAATGTATTAAACTATTAATCTATATATAATTAGAAAAGTGAAATAATATATATACATACATACACACTTGGGATCACGTGAGAGCAGCGTGTTTTCTTGAGACCCATAAAATCATTTTTTTTACACTTGAAACTTCACAGCAAAACGTTGTGAATACAACTTTTACAATATTTTTGCTGTGAATGTTCGACTTTTTTTTATCTTCATAACGTTTTGTTGTGAACCTCTATTCTTTTAGTGTTGGGTTAGAGATGACATCTCCGTTTTCGTATTTTTAGTGTTGGGTTGGAGATGGTATGAAAAAATTACCTTCATTTTAATATATTTAATTGCAAAAGAAGATAATATTTTTCGATAAATTAAATTAAACTGAGAAACTTAGAATATTTTTAACAGATTTTTATAAAATTAAAAATTAAAAGTTAGAATCTCTAAGAAAATAATACATTTAACTTTTAATGTATTATCTTTTAAGAGATTTCAACATTTATTGTATTATTAAAATATTCGATAAATTTATCATTCAGTACACATTTTTAAAAATAATCTATATAAAACAGTAGTAATTTAATTCCATTCATAGAATAAAAATTAAAAAATTAATTTCTCTCTCCACGCATCAAGTTTTAGATAATTATCTAAACCTGGAGCCTTCTTTAGTATTCTCTATTTTAGAGAACAATATAAAAGATATATTGGAGCAAAATAGATTACAAATGTGAAATGCCTCATTTTATGTATTTTAGCTGTTGAAGATGCTCTTATATATTTTCGATAACTCTGTTATTTTTTGAATAAATTCGATAATTGTATGTTACATTTTGATATAATTTATTATCTATACTATATTATAAAGCATTTGACAAAAATTCTTAACAAAACTTTTTTTTGCATAAAGTACTGTTTATTGATGCATATTACTTAAAATTCAAGATTACAAGTAGATTGTGCGTAAGAACAACTTATTAAAGCTTTATGTTTGAATTCGTGTAACTAACTGAAGATAAACATGATTAAATACATGATAAACACATCATTTTAATTATAAAAAATATAAAATATAATCAGGATAATCACTGAGTTCTAACATAATACTTAGTTATTATATTTATAAAAAATTATATTATTATATAAAAAATAAATTGCTTCGTTATTGAACTTAAAAAATTACAAGGAAGGCGTTGTCACAGCGATTTGGTGCCTATTATTAAACCAAAAATTATTTCATGTTATTTTTTTAAAAATTTATAATATTTTCAAATTTATATTTTATTCAAAAATAAGAGCATTATCATTTTTTTAAAAGTACATAAAATCGTATTCTGACATCCATAAAGACAAGAATGAAACGAAACATTAACGTATTAAAAATTACCATATTTGGAAAAAGAAATATAAAAACTATTATTTTTTATTAAATGTTTAAAAACTGTTAAATTATCAAATACCCAAAAACTTTTATAATAATTTAATTAATATTAAAAATAGAAAAAATATTTGGAATTAATACACATCTTTAAAACATCTTTACTTTTACTTTTTTAATTTTACCAAATTATAAAAAAATCATTAAAATATTTACTTATCGGTTATTTTAATTATCCACGATAATAATCCATCCACACCCTCATGACAATTCCACCAATCCGATCCGACGGTGACAAACCGAAGTCCCACGTGAACTATCATGTTCCTTGCCCCACAAGAAAAAACCCTTTTAACTCGGGGTAAATTACTTATTTAGTTCTTACGGTTTGTTAAAAATTTCTATTTCCATCCATATATATTTGAAATTACAATTTTCATCCCTATTTCTATTTTGGGTTGTTTGTCTATCTTTAATAGTTCTATTACGAGAAAATTTCTAAATCATCAAGAGGTGAATCTTATTTGACCAAAAAAGATTGTCTCTTAATGGTTCTAAAACCATCTGAATGATTTTGTATCATGCATATTTCTTAACAATTTAGCGTTATAATTTCATCTTAAACAATTACCAAACAATTATATTTCATTTTACACTATAACATGAGAGCCTCTTAATTGTTCTGATCACTTAATCATTCTGCATCAAACCATTCAACAACCGTTAAACAATCCCTTATAGTTTGTTAACTTTTTTGTTGTTATGATTTAAAATTTATTGCTATTTTCTTTCTTGCTTTTTCTAAATTATTTTCTATTCTAATCTTTTATACTTAAAAGTTGAAAGTAGCGTTTAAACTCAATGATAAATAGAAATGAGTTAGAAACTATAAGGACAAAAATTATAATTTCAAAAACCACATGGATTAAAACCGCCATTTTTAACAAAACACAAGGACCAAAAACGTAATTTACTCTTTATTTTATTTTATTTATAAAACCCGAAGAATTTGAAGGGTCGAGCTCTGATTTCAATTTCTCTCAAAATTCAGGGGGACAGAGAGACTGAAACACACTCTATATATACATACAGAATCTGTATCTATATAGACCCTATATTGCTCTTTGTTGATATATAGATACATATATATATATATATATATAGAGAGAGAGAGAGAGAGAGAGAGAGAGAGAGAAAAGGGAAGAGAACCATTGAAACTAGCAAACGGCTATAATTTAGAAGGTTGAAAGGATTATCGCAGAACGAGTTCCTGAAATTTTGGTCCGATTTTGGGGGCCATTTTTGAATTCATATTATTTAACCGCACTTTTTTGGTTATCTGAATTCAAATTTCGTTTACGTGCCCCCGAACCCAGACATTTGATCAGGGTTTTCTGCTGATAATCGCAACAACAGAGAAGAAGAATTAGCCCTCAGGATTGTGGAGGGCTCAAATCACCAGTTCTAATCTTACTTTTTCTGTTTGATTTGAGCCCTCGATATGCCTGATGGTTATTCATCTTCCAAAAAGAAGGATGACTATTGGGACGACGTTTGTGGCCAGGTATGTGTGTGTGTATATATATATATATATATATATATATATATATATATATTATATGTATCTATTCATTTATGAATTACATCGTTTAATTGTATATTTGTATGCTATTTCGTTTCGATTTTAATTTGTATCATTTGATTTTAGGAATTTTGATGGGTTGATGGGAATGTTGTTAATTAAAACCCCAATGAATTGATTTTAAGGTGAACCCTAGAATTTCCATTGTGTATTTGGAGGAATTTGAAGTAGAAAATGGGATTTGAAGGGGTTAGATTGCAAGTATGAACTTTTCTAGGGCTTTTAGGGACTGGTTGTTAACAGCTTAACCGGTGTGATGCTTATTCCGCTAGCTTAATGATATAAAAAGTGGCTTGTGGCTTGTTCAGTAAGCTTATCGGAGGAGGAGCTTCGTGCATTTTTCTCAAACTTGTCCCTCCTAATTAAAAACACGCAATTTTATCAATGAAAAAACTTTCCGAAACAAAAATTTCCCAATTTATACGGTCAGATTAATTCACAACAGTCAACTTTTATTTATACATGATTTAATGGAAAATCAAGAAAAATCAAGAATACATGCATAAAAGTGATTATGGTTTTATTGCACTGATTGTGGGCATATGATGCAATTTTGTTTAAGAAGGAAGAAAGGTTTTCAACTTTTTCCATTTGATTCCATAAGAATCTCTCGATCTATTGTTATCAGATTCATTTTGAAAGGGGGTTTTTGTATAAAAAAGCAAGAGCATCTGCAAGGAATATGTTCATAAGCTCTTCTGTCCAATCTCATTCTGGATAGAGTTTTAGGTATTTCACAAGCTTACGGAGTGCCTTACATAGTACAGAGGTCAGGTCTGCATACATCATACCCAATGTTGTTCTTTTGTTAGATGTCATGTCTGCTTACATCATACTGACATACCAACGATTCTACTTATAGGTCACTTACAGCTTATCTACTTTTTGTTTTATGTCAGGTCTACATACATGCATCATAACCATTCTATTATTTGGTGGAGGTCTACATAAAAACATCTCCAACAGATTCTCTAAAATAAAGAAACTAAAGATTTTATATTGTTCTTTAAAATAGAGAAAATATCAGATAACTTAAAGTTTAGAGAATTATTTGAATGTTGATGTTAGGAGAGAGAAATGATTATCTTATTCATTCCAACCAATCAGATTGAGCTATTATTATTATACATAATTTTTTTAAGTGTATTGTATTGATAAATTATAGAATATTTTAATAATTCAATTAACGTTGAAATCTCTGTTCTACTATTTGGTAGAGGTTATCATACCCATAGACCAACCATTTTACTGTTTGGTAGAAGTTAGGTCTGCATACATCCTATGCATAGATCGGCCGTTCTACTATTTGGTAGATGTCAAGTTTGCATACATCATGCTCTTAGACTGTACTCTACTTGGGATATACTGTGATTGTTTGGTTTGGTTTGGTTTGGTTTATCTGAAATTAATGCTTACAGGGTCTTTTTTCGATGGTTTTCTACTTTGTAGGAGGTAAGCAGAATGTCCCGAATCCGTTGCATGATGCAAACCCTGGACTTACGGATGTTTGTTGTATTATTTCTAGTCATTCCATTCGGTATCGTGGGTATTTACTTCCATGGACAAAAAGTCACCTACTTTCTTCGACCTCTATGGCAATCGCCTCCAAAACCGTTCATTCACATTCCTCATTACTATCACGAAAACGTTTCAATGGCTTCTCTCTGCAAACTCCATGGATGGGAGCTTCGAGATTTCCCCCGAAAAGTATATGATGCCGTTCTTTTCAACAATGAGGTAGATATGCTTACAATTAGATGGAAAGAACTCCACCCTTATATCACTCAATTTGTGCTTCTTGAAACCAACTCTACTTTCACTAGCATCCCGAAACCCCACTATTTCGCAATCAATCGGGAAAAGTTTGACTTTATCGAACCCCGTTTGACCTACGGCACGATTGGGGGTAGATTCAAAACGGGCGAAAACCCTTTTATCGAAGAGGCTTACCAACGTGTGGCTCTTGACCATCTTTTAAGAATAGCGGGAATCGAAGACGGTGATTTGTTGATAATGTCGGATGTTGACGAAATCCCGAGCGCCCACACAATCGATCTTTTGAGATGGTGTGAAGGGCCACCACAGATCGTTCATTTGAATCTAAACAACTATTTGTACTCTTTCGAGTTCAACGTGGATCACAGCAGCTGGCGGGCATCCGTTCATCAATACCAAAAGGGCAAAACGAGATACGCTCATTACCGCCAGACCGACCACCTATTGGCGGACTCGGGGTGGCACTGTAGTTTCTGCTTCAGAAAGATCAGCGATTTCATATTCAAGATGAAAGCTTATAGCCACACAGATCGTGTCCGATTCTCGCACTTTCTTGACCCGAGAAGGATCCAGAACGTGATTTGCAACGGTGACGACTTGTACGATATGCTACCTGAAGAGTACACGTTCAGGGATATCATAGCGAAAATGGGTCCGATCCCGCATTCGTATTCGGCCGTTCATCTTCCGTCGTATCTATTGAATCATGCCGAAAAATACCGGTATCTTTTGCCTGGGAACTGTATCAGGGAAGCTGGCTGAACAAGTCTAGATGAGGAGGTATAAAACAGTTACTTCTTTTTAAAGTATGGTTTCCTTAGAGAAAAATTGACAGAAATAGCCAATCCATCTGATTGTATTTGTTTTACAGTTATTTTTTAAAACAAATTCCCAAAATACCCATAACTTATATCGGGAATTTACTTTAAAAAAATGGCTATAAAATAAATTCAAATCGATGGATTGGCTATTTTTTTAATCGGATTTTATCTGGTTTATTTTTATTTTTTTAATTTGGGGGTGGTTTAGTTGTACATTTTTTACCCTTTCATCTCTGCAATCTAAAATTCTTTTAGATTGCAGAGATGTTTATATAATAATACATTTGCAGATTTGAGTTCTTTTTTACAATATGGGATCTTTTGTTTTATATGGTTTTATATCTTTTTTTGCATTTTTTATGATCTGAGGTCTTTATGAAATAACTGCATTATTATTTAGGGTAGAAGTCAGATCTATATATATTTTAGAAGATCTTTAACAGATTCTTTAAAAATGAAGAAAGGAAGTTTAGTGTTTTTTGTTTGTATTTTTTGCTCAAAAAGACAACCTTTCTGTTACTCCATGAAATCCTTCAAACCAAATATGAGATTAGATTAGAATTCTTCAATTCCACAAATTAATGGAGACTTTAGAGTCTTAAATTTAGTTTCTGAGAAATTAATTCAACTAAACAAACCCTTAACCAAAAGATCTTTAGTCTAACGGTATGTGAGTCTTTGGCCTTTTAAGAAGTCATAAGTTCAAACCTCATTAAAGATGAAAAAAGTATGTAAATTTATTTATTCTATTTATCGTATATAAATATTATATATTAAAAAAAAACCCTTTATTTGGTGTTGGATTGAAAGCTAAGTGCACAAGTAATTAAAAGTAAAAGTGGGTGGTTTTTGGGAATTTTTCAAAGGATTTAAGAGAAAGAGACATCTACTTTTTGTAATGGATGGTGGACTTAGGAAAGAGAATTTACAGAGTCAATCTTCTATACCCACCACACAACCAACTTTTTGTCATCATCATATTATCAATTTCATGTTCCCAAAGTGCTTTATTATAATTTTTTAGGTATATAATATTTATATATAATAAATGTAACAAATAAATTCATACATCATCTTCACGTTAGTGATTTGAACATCTGATCTCTTAGGAGGCCAAAGACTATGATACCGTTAGGCTAAAGGCTCTTTGATGTTTTATTACACTTTTAACATGAATAGAGAGGAGGTTTAAGTATAAAAATCAGGATGGATTTCAAACGGGAACGACACTATTTTATGAAAACACAAGAACATCTTAAATAGAAAACCTTCAAATATAACACTGTATCGGGACAAAAAAGTGGGTAGGTGACTTGAGGGCTGTTTGGTAGTTGTTGTTTGGTGTAGAATGATTAAGTGGTCAGAATAATTAAGAGACTCTCATGATAAAGTGTAAAATGAAATATAATTGTTTGATAATTGTTTACAATGAAATTATAGCGCTTAATGGTTAAGGGAGGCCTATGATACAAAATCATTCAGAGGGTTTTAGAACCATTAAGAGACGGATTTTTTTTTGCCAAACAAAATTCACCTCTTAACGATTCAGAGGCTGTCTTTTAATGGAACTATTAAGAGGTAAACAAACAACCCCTTAGCCTGCTATCTAGGTCCATGCGTATCACCTGGTTATTGTCTCTTTTAGGTGTTCTAGTATTCTCGTAAATTGATACCTTCTTCTTTTGAAACATTCTGTAAAAATTGATTCTAAAACTATAAACAAGATGGTTGGAAAGCAGGGATGGACCCAGGTGGTTCAAGTGGTGACATGAGCCACTGTTTCATTCTTGTGTAAAATTTTAGGGTCATGAAAAGTGTCACTGTTTAAATTTGTTGTTTGCCGGCATATATATTTTGAAACGACAACAAAGACATAAGATTCCCTTGTTAGAGTTGATTTGCACCCCAAATTCAAGTTCGAATCTGTTAGTGTCATATTCTTAGTTTTTAGCTTTTAATTTTAGATTTATTATGTTTCTGAAAAAACTTGCAATAAAAAACTTGAACACGAGACTTTACGTATGAAAATCAATGAACTAACCAACAGACAAATTATGATTCTATGAAAAATATTCATATTTTCTTGTAATCAAATGGGTATCACCGCTTCAAAGAAAAATTCTCGGTTCGTCTCGGTTGGAGAGAGGTATATTCAAATGAAGCCTCTCAGGCTCTCACTGAACCTAAATGGAATGCATTGAATAAGACATGACAGGATTGAACGAAGGAGAGTGACATAAAAAATTGCATTTTCGTTCCACTCAATCATGTCATGCCATATATTGGACAATAAGTTTTTAATCTATCATGTCACGCCACGCATACTAAATGCACCATATGGATCACATATTCATTCATCACAAAACCTATATATACGAGAATCAACGTAAACCATCATTTATAACCGAGGTGTCAAAAGAACCAAAATTTCAAGAAGGGGACCGTGCATTTGATTTGGCGGAATGGTTTTTAAGGATTTCGGTACCAACGACCCCATGAGGTTTCTAAATCCAATGCTTGTGAGATTTCATCGAGATTCCGGGATTTCAATTCCGGACTTCCCTTTAAAACAAACGCTGTATTGAAATGAAATCCAATTCCAAATCCCACCAAACCAAACGGGCCTTTAGAAAAGCGACTATAACAGGATATAATGTTAATAGAATTCGATATCCGAAAGGAACACATGATAGTATAAATAGTTTGTGTCAAAATTTGTGAACTCAAAACTCCCCTACACAATCTCATGGCTCGATTCATTTGTGAATATCAATGCATCCCCAACACCATTTTTGACTGCTTCATCAACACAATCTAGACTGCAACTCAAATTCTCTTAAACAATCTTAAGCTTAATTCACATGTGAATTTGATTGAAGAGAAATTATAGGTTCACCTGCATGAAAAACACTTCAAATAGTTATTCTAAAGGTTCGGAAACAACCACTAGTCATGTACAAATCAAATCAAACGAACCCAGTATATCTGATCTGGTGATGGGATCTAAGCAGGTTAAGATGTAGCAGACCTGACCTCTACCCTCAAAGAGCTGAGCAACTAGAGGAAGTCGATATGGTAAAGTTTTGAAAAGTAGGTTGAGATAACATACGAATAGATGAGCAAAACCAATTAAGGTGTCCCAATCATTTGCAAACCTCTTAATCCATACAAACAAATCTCAACCGTCCATCTAGTCTAATGAATATTTGGGTTCCATAAATATCCATATCATAATAAGAGGTTGTTTCGTTGGTTTTCCATTAAGTCATGTATGGATAAAGCTGTCTGTGTAGATTAATTTATCTGTATAGAGTGGTAAGGTTTTTGTTATGGAGGGTTTTTCCATAGATGGAAGATGCGTACTTTTTAACTAGGAGAGACATGTTTAAGAAAAACTTGGCTTTTTGCATAAAGCTCCTCCCTAGAAGCTCACTGAATAAGCCATTTTCTATATCACTAAACCACCACCAAACAGTCATTTATAACTGCCCGAATAAGATGTGAATCCCCTTAAGCTCATTAAGCTGCTAACAATCATATGCCCTAAATGAATTGGCATCAATTTCCATAAATATCTCAATCGATTGGTTTGTATGAACTAGGAGGTTTGCGAAAATGATTGGGACTCTTAAGAAAAGGTGACGCTAAATGATTCGTTACCTCCAAGTTAATCGCTATCCCATTTTTCGTCCACAATTTTTGCTGATGATCTTGATTCAGGCTCTTCCTCTTCTGATTCCAGGATCAATATTTCGGGGTTCCGAAAATCATCCTTTCCATGACCATTTGAAAACTTATCCTCGTTCCCTATATTCGGCTTTTCTTCATCGGATTCAAACATGACGTTTTCCAAATCATCCAACATATCTTCCGACTCGGGTTCTTCTTGAACGGACTCTCTTCCGAACCTACCTTCATCTCTTCGGCTAAATCTCTCACCATCACCTGAATTTCCATTTTTACCCCTCTTCCATCTTTCGACCTTAGGAACATCATATACATAAGGAGCTTCATCCGAGTCATTTTCATCATCTTCATCAACCTCATCGTTCTCGCTATTACTCGACCTCTGTGGGGCCCTCCTACCCATATCGGGTTTCGTATACCTTCCATCATAATCTTCTCTATAAAGATATCGAATTCTGTTGACTTCTTCTTTCTCGGCAGCTTCTTCTTCTTCCCATTCTCTGTCGGCTGCATCCTCGATCTCTGCTATGAATTTATCGAGCTCTTCTTGATCACTATCTTCACCAGATTCGGATTCTTTTATGCCTCCGATACCCGTTTCTTTCGGTTTGTCGCCACGGAAGACATATGGGCTTCCTTCTTTCTTGTCGATTGCGTTAAAGAAAGTGGACGCCACTCTTTGTATGCTGGCCATGGCAACTGGATCATCAGGGTTTACGTTCATCCTTCTAAGCTGCTGCTCTATCTTCTTTATGTTCAGTTTTTGAGATTCAAGCGCTTGTTCAAATCGAGCTTTAAACAATGCCTGCATATCAATGACAATTCGGCTTTCATGAGAGAGGTTCAAACGCCAGGGCCAAAATAAGAAAACACAAGAATGGCCAAAATCACGTGATTTTCCACTAAAATCACATGAATAAGGAACACGATTAAAGCAAGGTCGCATGAATCACATGTGATAAACGTGATTTTAGTGTGAGATCATATATTATTTGACCGCTCTCATGTTATCTTATTTGGTCATTGTTCTAGTTTGAACCCGACCCTTGGAGTAATTTATCAGAACAATCACAAATTACGCTATGTTTGACAAATTAGCTGATAAGCCGGTTGCTAAAGTTAGTTATTGGCTCACAACTAGTCATGTGTGATAAAAACTAGCTGATAAGCTAGATGACAACAAAAATCAACTACAATGACATAAGGGGTATAATTGGAAAAAAGCATGGAGCTTATTGAAAAGCTACTTGAACTAGCGTTTCAACAAGCTAGCTTATGGAAAACCAAACGGGGATTTTCCAATAAACTCAAAAAAAATAAGTTAATCATGTTTGATAAAAACTAGCCGACTATATAAAATCACCTAAAAGGACATGTTGAAAATTTAACTTGAAAAATATAAAGGGCATAATCACAAAAAATGGAAAAAGCTCCTAAAGCTTATTGAAACAAAACTACTTGAAGTGGCGTTTCAAAAAGCCGGCTTATGGCTAATCAAACGTGCTTTTTCAATAAACTCAAAATAAGCTAGCTTACGGTTGCCAAACACAACCGTAATCAAATTAAGTTGAAGGTACAAAAGGTGAAACAGAATAAAGTCTTACCTTTCTTTTCGTAAGGGTGTTGATTGGTATCAAATTCTTCGGTTGTCTATAATTTCTTCCACGGAACATGATAATCGTTTTCACATTATGTATGTTCACCACAATGCCGCCGCTCAATCTTGCAAGCATGGTTGCCATCTCCTTGATCTTTTCTTTCGGGAAGTTATCACAACAAACTTGCACGGTCTCATGGAATTTCCAATGCATGTGCATGTTCTGAACCACACCTCCGAACACTCCACGAACACCAACTGGTACATAATTTCTATTCCGGAACCCAATCTTTTTTAACGCCTGGATTTGTTCAGGCGTCAACAGCTCAGGATCGTGCCGTGGAGCTGGCAACTCAGGTAGCTCATATTTCTTTAGCTTCTGGAGAAGCAATGCCACTTTTTTCTTCGCCTGCATTTAATTGGAACAAATATGGCATGAAATAGTGCCAATCTTTTAAGAGAATATTAATGAAAGTAAAGTTGTGTTTGGTATGCATACGGGACTGGACAGACTAGACGGGCAAGAGTGAGGTAGGTCGGTGAAAGAATTGTGCTAGATTTTAGGGTTTAAATTTAGCAAGTATAATTTAGTAATTTACCAATCTTGTCTTATCTCCAGCTTACGTGCACCAACTAATCCCCCGCGACCACAAATGGCTTGGAGTCATCGCAGGTGAACCTCCCTGGCTGCAAGGGCTTTGGCAGCGCCAAGATTTGAACCCAAAGAAGATGATATTTCCACTGCATCCTCCTGAGTCTTACTTAACCAGTGCATCACAACCCAAGTCCACCTATATTGATGGGACAACAAAATGCACATTTGTTCCGCTCCGTCATGTTTTGTTCTGGTCTAAATGTAAGCACCAAACATGAGACAATAAGGGGAGTTTGTTTGATGGAATGGTTTTGAGGGATTTGGATTTCATGGAAGGATTCATCTTTGGTGTGTAGGATTTGGAATGGAATTAAATTCCATTATTTATAAAAATAATTAAATTACCTTTTTAGTTTATTGATTATTACAAAACAAATATTTTTAACATTTATTAAACCATCATTACATACAAATCCTACGAAATCCCATGAAATACCAACCCCAAGGGATTTCAAAATCCTATGTTTGGGAATTTCAGATCCATGAAATCCTTCAAACCAAACATGGGATTGGAATGGTATTCAATTCCAAATCCCTCCAAATCCAATCCAATCCAATCCCGCAAACCAAACGGGACCTAAGTTTGTGTTCTGTCTTGTACTGTCCTGTAGGGTACCAAACAAACCCACCCTAAATGAATGTTTTTAGTGTGAGCTTTCACCTGAGAATTTATGCAATCAGAGCACCGTAACAGACATAAGTTTAAGCAAATGCATATCTAAAGAAACCTTCTAGGTCATCTCATTTCACAATTACAAAAATTTAGGGGTTGTTTACTTTTTTCAACATTAAGTCCTGTATAAGTTAAGTTGTTTGTCCAGATAAATTTGTCTATTTGAGGGACAGGAGACCAATGGGTTTGAAGGAGGCAAAGAGAGATAGTTGGATTATTTCGGGGTAATTTCTGGTATTAGTTTGTTTGAGGTAGCTTAAAGAGGACAACTGAGGGGTCCTGGCTTATTCCATATCGCCATTTTGGTTTAGTGGCTTAAAGAGTAAGGCTTATAAAAACACTCTTGTATGGCTGAACGAATAAGCTGCCCAGACCATTAAGTTCATTAAGATATAAGTAAGCAGCCTCTTAGTATTTCACATAATCCAATAGCAATCTCAAGAAAGGCAAAGCAGAAACACATTGAATCAACAAAATTCATGAAAATTGAAGCTGTATGTATGTATGTATATATATATATGATGCAATCGAATACTTCAATAATACATTATGTAATTGACTACAGAGATGGAAGATTGGAAGAGAGAATCATACTCTTTTGAGATTGTAAATGAGACGTTCCTCATCAGTCATCAATTTCTTCTGAATCTTCTTCGCCCGCCTAATCTCCCTTAGAGTTTTACCAGACTCTTTCTTCATCCGCATCTCCACTTTACTCCTCATGCTCCGACCCCTAGCAGTCGAAAACGTCCGACGTCCATCAAAGCAATTCCAAACGTTGATTGAGCTCAAAAATTTCTCGTCTCTTATCACGAAACTGGCATGAAAATCATTCGTCGGTGTAAAATTAGGCGTAGTAGCACCTCTTAACAACTTCACATCCCTGAAGAACATAGAAAATCGAATCAAATTCAATTTACGAATAGGTTATACATACACACACACATATACATACTTGGAGCAATTGGTGATGAAACGGGAGGTGAGGGTTTGAAAGCAGCGCTTTTGAAGGTTCTTTGTAGCAAACATTGGACGGAGAAGAAGAATAAGGAGGTGATAGTTGTAGCAGAAGCGAGATTGCTAGGGTTTGGTTTCCATGGATGGCTGATCTTATGCTTTGATTAACAGCTTCGAAATTATGATGAATTTGTTTCGTCGTGGGTGAATAGCAACAACATTTGGGGGTTTTTCATCAAGGGTTTTAGCTAAAGGGTAAAAAGGAAGGGTATCTTTCATTTTTATTCGACACCTGAAATATTAGTTGAAATATATAACTTATTGACTTATTTTGGTTTGACATCGGTAATAGCATTTTTGAGTGTTTGGATAAATAGTTTATATTGGTGCCAAATCGGTATTAAAGAGTTTTTGAAGAAGTTAAATCATTCTAACTTATAATAACTTGATAAAGACTTTTGTAGAAAAGCATAAGCTGTTTCAAATAAACAATCCCAAACACCCCTGAGTAAATTGTGGATTTGTTACTGTGATTTGATTTCTTTAATAAGGTTTTTATGGTCCTTGGGGTCACTGATCGATCATTGAACATGATTATATCGGTCGGTCCATGATCCGTAGATGCGAAGGTGTTCTTGGGGTCGTTCACAACCGTCCCAAAAGGGAAGGGTCTTTCCCTCTCGGAGTAAGAAAATCCATGGACCGATCTCATCATCTCCATCCCGTAGGAACTACCAGATTACCCCAAGGACGCCTTCGGCATCCAAGGATCACAGACCAACCATAGAACTGTTTATCGTGAATTTTATTCTTATGGTATTTATTTTGTTTTGATTAATGTTTCCGTTAAATCAATAGTCATTTTAGCCTATTTATCTATTATTTTGTCTTTTAAGAACTTGACAATTTGTAAGAACTGTTAGGCCCATTTTAAGCCACTAAACGATATAAATTAGAAAGTTATTGGTAATTTTGTAATACAAAATCAAATAAAGGGTATTATAGGTATACATAAATATCCTCTCTCCTCCCTCTTCTCTCCCTCACATCTCCTTCTTCGCCCCCAACACGTTCGACTACCACCCCAATTTTCGTGAACATATTATGCACAGTTTGCAAATGGGGGTTATGTGGTAGAATAACGATGTGCACAGTGTGCACACCATCGGTACTCAACCATTCCCTTCACCAGATCTGGTACTACTCGAATTGCACAGTGTGCACACAATCAATTGTAGCAACTGGGAACCTTAAATCAACTATTAAGAACACAATCAATAACACCATCAACAATCTAATTCTTGATCTAAAACAATCATCCAAAAACCACAACCACTACGAACCTCTTCTTCTCATTATCAATCTTACGAGATCTCCTCCGATACTTGGAACTGAAATCCCTACAAGGCCTAAATCCTTCTCCAACCGGTTGCTGCCAGAACTCCGACGAAATTCTGGCCACTGAATGAGGCGACAACGACACCATTGTAGAGGTGGAGAAACTTACACAAAAGTGAACACCTGTAAAAACCCATTTGAATGGTATGTATATTTTTAGATCCCGATTCAACGTAGAACGAAGGCCGAGAGGGTAGATGGAGATGGAGGTTGTGTGACTAGAAGAACAATTGTTCACAAGATCTGGATTTATTGGTGGTTGTGTGAACTTTCTTTCAGAGTTTTTTTCTCACCATATTTAGGTTTTTTTATCTGAATCGACTACTAATAAAATATGTATTTATTTTTGTAGGAATTGTCTAAAATAGCCAATCTCCTCATCCACCTTCACTTTCTAGCAACATATTCAAGCAAATTCTCAAACTCGTTATTTTTTATGTAAATGTTTTTTTTATTAACCTGGATATCCAACCCGTTATGTGAGCCAACTAATTCCAGGGCGACCACCTGCTTTGTAGGTAGTCCGGAGTCACCGCATTTGAACCTCCGTGGCCACAAGGGGATTTTCGTTCCTTTTTGGATTTGAATCTGGGACCTCCAGACACTTTTGACCTTTGGAGCCAAGCTCAAACCAATCAGGCACCACCCTTGTGTAAATGTTTTACGTATTTGTATAAACAACATTTTTCTGATAAAAGTAAAAAAAAAAAAAAAATGCAATTGCCTTAAAATTGACTTGGAAATGAAAAAGTAAATTGGAATGGAGAGACTGGTTATTTCAGTCAATTTCCTTTTTTTTAGTTCATAAACATATAATTAAAAAGTTATTCACATTTTTTCTTCCAAAATAGAAATCAGTGTACATTTTGGATCTGTATCGTAAGCTTAACTTACAAGATCTTGAATTATATGATTATTATGAATAGTATTTATAAGACATCGTGATATACAGGTTTCTCTTTCTTGATGTTTTACGACAAAACGTTACTGTTATTTTTGGTGTTATGATCTTTACATGTAAACCCTTAAAAATATTGATTTTGCAAGGAAGAAACATGATAACTTGGTAAAGGACAAATGTTTTAGGGGTTGTTTGTTTACTTATTAATAGTTCTATTAAGAGACACCTCTTAATCATTACGAGATGAATCTTGTTTGGCAAAAAAAGTATGTCTATTAATGGTTTTAAAACCTTCTAAATAGTTTTGTATCATGTGCCTCCCTTAACAATTAAGCGCCTTAGTTTCATTGTAAACAATTACCAAACAGTTATATTTCATTTTCACTATATCATGAAAGTCTCTTAACCATTATGACTACTTAATCATTCTGCACGAAATCATTCTGCACGAAATCATTCTGCAACTTTCAAACAACCCCTTAGTTATATGTAGGGGTGCTCATGGGTTGGGTTGATCGGGTTGAAGACATTTGAACAACTCAACCCAATGTTTGCGGTTTGGAAAAATCTTAACCCAACCCAACCAAACCAAAGTACAATCCAACCCGTACGGGTTGGTCGGGTTTATATATTAAAATATTCTTTTAATCTTGAATATGTTATTTCTCTACTCATAATTTCTTTTTCATTATCAACCATTTGATACAACTTATCCATATTTCTTACGTATATCATATTCAGTTAATTTTCTTAATTTACATATATATGTTCACACTTACTGAACATATATATGAATAGATTGAAAATATATGTATATGAAAAGCATACATGATAGTGTAATTGTTTAATGTATATATTACTAGAAATTCAACAATCATATTAAATCCAATAAATAAAAGGATATCGGGTTCATCGGGTTGGGTTGAGTTCAAATAATAGTAACCCAATATCAACCTAATACCTACGGTTTGACAATTTTACAACTCTATTAGACATCGGGTTGGATTATTTCACGTTGGGTTGAGTCGGGTTGATCGGGTTTTTAAACACCCCTAATTATATACGAGAAAAAGAGTCGTATATAACAAATTTGAGAACTCCTATAAAATATTATTACGAGAGAAGATTTTTTATTATATTCTCATTAATGAATTTTTCTTAAAAGTAAATGTTTTACAAGAGGAAAATAATATATTTATTAAATATACTAAATATTAAAATAATATAATTAATATTGTAATCTTCAAAATTAGTAAATAGTTAAAATTGAATGTAATTTCTTTTAAATTTTATGTTATGATATTTTAAACAGTTTATTAAAAATGCTCTGAACCTTAATTTATTTTCAATGCACCTCAACTGGATTGGACAAACACACACATCGTGTGTATACTAAGACTTGGATCATGTGAGATTAGCTTAGAGATACGTGAGACCACGTTATTACATTTGAAACATTGTGAAGATAATCTTCATTTTGTTTTTGTTGTGAAAATTCGTTTTTTTTACCTTCACAACATTGTGCTTTGAAGTTGGGGTTGGGTTCACGTCATGAGACCTTTGAAACTACTTTTTTACACTTAAAACTTCACAGCACAACGTTGTAAAGGTTAAAAGAAGCCGAACCTTCACAACAAAAACACTATGAAGGTTACCTTCATAGCGTTTTGCTGTGAAGTTTTAAGTGTAAAAAGATGGTCTCACGGATCTCACAAAAACAAGCTGATCTCACGTATCTCTAGTCTATATATATATACATACACACACACATATACAAATACATAGAGGCTCATTCAAGGGAGAACTAACTAGTTTGTGGTAACTGTGATATCTAATCTCAACCACAAATCAATAAATAAATTAGTTGGTAATTTTGAATTAAAATTTTAATACAATGACATTTTAGGTAAATGATTGTTTGGATTTCAAATCTCTATATATATATACATATACATATATATGTATATATATATATATACACACACGTGGGACAAAAGAGTTATATCCGGACATACATTCAAGGAAGAACTAACTAGTTCGTGTTCTAGATTTAACGACTTACTATATACATGCATGCATACATATAGGAATGAATAACACAGAAATGGTGGTCTTAAACCTTCATACCAACACATTTAATTTCCATCCTCTGTGACTATAAGCAATCTAACCCGCCGAAAACACTATCTTGGGATGAAAAATATAACTCCTGCATCCAACATTCTTCAAAAATTAGTATACACATTATTTAACACAACATTTCGGCTTTCCAAATTATTGCCCATAAAACCAAAAGTACGTTGTTGTTCTTTTCTCTTTCATAAAACACTACAACAAGACGAGTCTTTTAAGACCTTCAATACTCGTTCTTGGGGTTTACTTGATCAGACTTTTAAGTTTTGGGACCAAGTAAGAGGTTGTTTACTTACGGCTTAATGATCTAGACAACTCAACCATACAAGAGTGTTTCTTTACGGCTTAATTGTTAAGCCATTAAGCCAAAATGGCTATACGGAATAAGGCAGGACCCTCACTTGTCCCCATTAAGCCATATTAAACCAGTTAATGCCAAAAACGCCCTAGAAATTATCCAACCTTCTCTCTTTGCCTCTCTTAAACAACAGTTTATTTTTATCCAGACAGACAACTTTATGAAACAAACAACTTAACCCGTATGAGGCTTAATGGAAGAGAAAAATAAACAACCACTTGTCATATTACAATTGTGATACAATAAGTTATTAGAACATGAAACAAGGAGATCTAACAAGTTTTATCGATCAAGTTAGTCAATCTAATATGACACAAGAAATAAATCGTCTAATTAGTTTTTTTCACAAGACACTTTTCGATCGAAAGTATCCATGTGAAGAAGCTAATAAGATGATTAATTTCTTGTGTCCTATTAAACTGTCCAACTTCGTCCATGGAATATCTTAGGCCGCTTAAATTCGTCATAACAACTTTTTGTAACGTCATTATATAAAACTCAAAGTTGTTGGTCAATAAACTCGACTTATACCAAGTATCTATTAGGTCGACCAAAAATTACGAGGTGTTCTAAGAGCACTTTCAACAAATACTCTACAATTTCTCTAAAGTAGGTAATTGAAGGTTAAAAATTTATAGAAAAATAGAAAAAAAAAAACAAAAGTTAAAATTTAAAAATAGAAGGTTTTTTGTATTTTAGAGAACAATATAAAGAATCGGTTGGAACAAAATAGGAAAAGATTCTATGAAATGAGAGAATATGTTGGAGGTGGACTAAAAAGCCCATTTTATCGTAGTGGAAGAAGAATGAGAGGCTAAACTTACCGTAAGGTCGAATTCTGGAGGAGTACCCACGTCTAGATTCTCGAGATCGATGGTTTCAAAACTTGTGTCTCTAGCAGCTCCTACAGCATCATCTGTGACGAAACTCGACCCAGGTATAGGGTGATAGGCATCGGCGTTATCTTGGCCGAAGAATGAGTTATGAAATGCATCCAAATCAATGGCTTGTAAATCGTCTTCCCGAGCCGGTAGCTTCACACCATCCTTAAGTTCAAACCACTCTGATTCCTAACCCAATATGGGAGAAAAAAGAAGTTAGATTGACGAAATTTATTATCCTATCGATTATAAAGATTAAAACTGTTATCTAGTTAACTAAAAAATGTCATAAGCACTTGTTCATAATATTGTCTTTAAAATAATTTATTTTGTGACTGGATAGTATATATTTGTGAGTACATCTCTTTCTCTAGGCATCATTAATAATTACTAAGTAATTTTCCATAAGAGTGCGTTTGGTATCCAGATAGGATAGGATAGAACTAGACAAGACAAAACAGTTGTTCAACGTTTGGTAAGAGATGTACAATAAATATAATTTAAAGAAGGAATAAAATGCAAAGAGGGAGACGTATTTTGATGTTTTAGAGGAGAATTAAGTTTTATTTTGAGGTTATACTTGTTTCATGGGATGGGATGGGGTGGGGTGGAACACGCCTATATGGAACAATGATCCCTATTATATTTTGTCTAGTGTACCAAACACACCCTAAAAGTCCACTCGAGAATACGTGGAACCCTGTCAAATCACTCTCCAAGATAGCCCTCAAGAGAGAAGGGTTCCAGTATAGGAAATGGTCCACGTCTAGCCGGTGTGGATCTTGACATGTGCTCTGATGGAGGCTAACTAGTAACAAATTGTCCTAGAGTGTCGAGAGCGGGATTAGACGGGTGAGGGGGCTAGACAGATACAAATTACCCCATGGTGTCGAGTCTACATAGTAGACCTTGACTCTCATACCATATATAAGGATATATGAAACCTCATTAGATGACATTCCAAAAGATCCCTAAAAAAGAGAAGGGGTTCAAACATCTATTGAAAAGAAATTGTCCAAGTCTAAGCCAATGTGAGACTTTAACACAGACCGGGTATACGAGGATGAGATGTACACAAACCTTTCTGTTACTCCAAGAAGTAAAACGCATTTTCAAAAAGAAAAACCAAGGGGTGTTTGGTTAGATATATTAAGCAGTAATTAACGAGAATGAAAATAAAAGAAACTATTTGGATTTATATAATACGATTATGATGGGTCTATTCCCCCATAATCCCAAATTTTCATTTCAAATTAAACTGGGAATGATGTCACTTCCATTTTCATTCCGCTGCCTTAACCAAGCATCCGTAAGAATAAAAGTACTATAAATTCGCTGCCAACCTGTGCCGGCGACTGGAGACGATAATCGCCCGTAGCATCCATACTTTTTCGGTTCACCCCAATATTACCCGCTTGTTCATCTGTTGCCGGGCAGTTTTTGGATACCAAACTAACTTCTACTTCCCCGGAACATAATTTTAGTGTGGCCGATTTCCCTTCTTTTGCAATAAGTTTCGCTACAACACCCGCAACTCTAGCTAATTGTCCACCCTTATCTTCGTATAGTACAGACTTTAGTGGCCGTGGTGGATCAGGAGCATCGGCCTTCGGAGTCGCTGGAGTTGCTGGACTCGTTACAGTGGTCGATGCATCCAATTCCACCACACGAGAACCCTTATCCGGGGACTGCTTTTTTGTATGATAAAATATCTTGGAAACCACATATTCACCATCCTTTTCATCTTCATCGGTCCCTAGATGGTATTGATGCATGACCCAGTTTATTTTAGAAGGTTTGGAACCCTCAACAGATGTCTGATAAAGAACCATTATCTTTTTGTATCCTATGTGGACTACATTCTTGAAGATTGCCTTTGTCTTACCAGTCTTATGCCAACGGACGTCCGTGGTCAAACTAGATCCATTGCATATCTTCCGACGCTTTCGTCTACCTCTAGTGTATGCGTTAGTGGTGCGGTAAAAGAAATGGACACTGTTTCCATCTTTTCTTGCACCTACAAAATGAATAAGGGTTATTTCTTAACATGTTATGGGTGAGATTTTGAACAGTTTTTTATGCGTTTTGAGTCATTCATAAACGTGTGTGAAGCCTTATCTACAACTTTAGGTTCAGAGGATCAGAATGTTAATTGTATATCTTTGGCCCTCTGGATGTATGTAACAGGACGGCAAAAAAAGATTGAAACATCCATGAAAATGATCATGAGACTATCTAAAAATCAAACCAAACTAATAAGCCCGAAGGTGGGTTTGGGGATGGTATGTAAGTAGTGACGGATCTAGAAACTTAGATGAGCGGGGGACTGGAGTATCAAAAAGAAAACCCAAAACCGAATAACTCACCCGAACCAAAATGTTGTTTCGTGCTATTCGGTTTGCGGGTTAAACAAGTTTCGATTTCAATTATTTTTTAACCATATCAGTTAACCGAATAGCAAATTATCTTATTATTTTATATAATTTTCTTTTAAATAAATCAGTTTGAGGATAAACAAAATTAACGTTAGGTAAATTGATTTGTCTTTAAGCTAAAAGACAAAAAAAAATTGAGATAAATTTAATAAAACCATAACCAATTGTAACATGGTTGCAAGAACTAACAATAACAAAACATATAATGTGTGGGGGATGACTTTCAAGTGGGGGGAGCAGGGGGATTTTTGTCAAAACAGACTTTGTCATTGGGGAACGTCGTAACTAATTGGGGAACCGAGTACGTAAGAGTAAACCACAAATTTCTTTTACCTAGATTATTTAAAACAAATGATCTTTGACCGGTGTAAGTGAGCACATAAGCTGACTTGACCTCTACTATCAAACAGTAAAGCAGTTTGTTTCCATGAACCCCGACTTGGTGAGAAGTATACAGAATCAAAAGAAAGTTTCCCCAAAGAAAAAACTGAAATTCAGCTCACCAGGAAGATTTTCAGGATGTTCATAGCATATTCCTTCCTCCACATCAAGTGTGGGGATGAACTCGTCCACATATGGGTGTGGCTTTTCATTCCCCACTCCACATTTGGCTGCTAAATGTTCCAACAGCTCAACATCGGATGGATCAAACTTCACTCCAATGGGTAGCCCAGGCCACTCGATTGACACCTTCACAAAGAAACATATAATAGAAATCAAACTTTTACTTGTCAAGGCAAAAGACATCAAAATACAACAATTTTGATTTAGTCCCTATTTAGTGTAATAGATCAATTTTGTTTCGTGTAACGAAGTTTCAATTTTTGCACTTATTTTGACTAACTCATTGATCTTGTAACATTCGAGTATGAATCAGTGGTGGGCTTAGGAATTTCTTCGAAAGGGTTAAGGTAAATTGACATTGGGAAGAAAATTAGATTATAAAAAAATAATAACATCAAAATGGGGAAAGAATTAACTAAAAGTGTTGGTGTAGTGGTAGTAATGTTTAGAATTGTACTTGAATGCTCCTAAATATAATTTTGATGTTAATATTTTCAGAAATAGCATTAGGCGCTTGTGTAAATCCCTGGGCCAGCCTTGGGCCTAAAATTAAAATATAAAAAAAAGTGTATTTTCACCTAAAAGATTCAAAACCATGTATATAAAGTGCTAATCCAACCATCGTTTATAAATTTGGTTTCAATATATTTAAGAGCACCCATCAATATCAAATGGGTGCACCTTTCAGCCGATTAATTTTTTTCTCTCTTGCAATAATCAAGTGCCTAACGTGAATACCCGTATATGAAATAGTTACGAAAGGGTGACAGCGGAGGGGACATTACATTCCCAATGTTATCAATTCTGAAATATTTTCTTACATGGCTGTTATCAATTCTGCAGCTGCATTGTGGACATTCCCAATTTGCTCCACAATCCTGGATTTGAAGTGCTGAAGGAAGCCCAGATGTTTTTACTTTCCTTGCAATAGCTCTACCATCAACAAGCCAACTCCTGCAATTTTCAAATGTCAGGCTAGAGTTGGTCACAGAACAACCTTTCAAGGAGGAAGATTAAGACAGCATAAATCATCACAAAAAGGCAACAGCTGCAGAGTACTCTTTTAAGAATGTTAAATAAACTAAACTCCAGATCAATATGGCTGGATGCTTCCACCTATGGCTCTGATGTACCATACAGACCTTTTAGACAGCAAAATTCCAAATGATCCACCTACTTCTCTATAAAGAAACGAAAATAGGTTAACTTAAATACACCCTTTCAAACAGAAATCACCAATTAACTACATTTCTTCTTCTTCAACATGATCCCAAAACTTCTTCCAACTACCTATCAAAACTATCATGCATGATCTTCCTCCATGTGCAATCATGCTCCAAATAGCCAAAAGTTTGAACCATCTAATTTTACCCCTGCTATCTATACAGATGCTAAATGGTATGTGTCTATGCTCGTTAGATATATAGAACATACCATTTGTAATTTGTTTACGGCTTATAAAATATGCGAAGCCCCATCAGATAAGCAATAAAAAGAGAGAGAATTCACAACGCTTACTTTGATGCCTAACACAAGGACACTCCGCTCGTGCTCCTCACCCGAGGAGCACTCCCTGCTCTGAGATAGATAAATGTTAGCAAAAGAGCCCTAAAGGAGAGAAGGGGGTTCCAATACATATGGAGGAAAAATGGTCCAAGCTAGCCGATGTGCAACTCCAACACAACCCTTCCTACAGAGGCTAGCTAGACGGACACGAATTTTCCATGACTGTTGAAAGGGGGATAGACGGGTGAGGGCGCTAAGTCCAGATTGCCCAAAGTGTCGATTCTTTAGAGTGGTTGACACCATATGAGAATCTGTGGATCCTCGTTAGATTACTGTCCAAAACAACCCTTGAGGAGAGAACGGAGATTTCAACTTATGTAAAGAAAAAATGGTCCAAGTCTGCCCGGTGTGTGGGACTTTATCAGAAACACAAAATAAGGTTATCACCAAACACAATTGGTGTTCTAATTGTTCACAATTGTTTACTATAGCAAACAGTTTTCATGGACAATGAAGAATGAAATTTCCTTGCTATTTTCATGGAACCAAGCTAGGAAGTCACTGCAATGCTGCCTCAACCTATAATGCAGTCACAAAATAAGATACTACTACTCCACAACCACGCACTGAACCCCAATATCCACACTGATTCAAAAAAACTTCTCGAACCATTCAGCTCAAACTAAGTGATGCAATATTTCAGGCTGATATGAAACTTGCTTTCCATTTTAGTACTGAACTTCAATAAAGGAACCCCACAAGCAGAAATTAAATAAATCAAGTATACATAGTCACAAACATCTACATTTGAAACAATCCAGATATAATAGCATAATCACAGACTCATATGTACAAATTTAGCCGACATTTACAGACATCAAATCGTAGAAAAATGAAAAACAATCAGATAACAGTTAAAACACACGATCGGAGATCATACTACATTATCAAAATCCCCCGTTATTGAGATTTGAGATGATGATCGAATAAACAGAAGTAATGCAGCATTTCAAGTGCCCAAAATAGAGATTCGATCGATATTGACTTCCATTTTAGTCGAGGAACTCGACACGCAGAAGTAAAATAAATCAGAGTATACACTGTGAAAGAAACATGCACATTTGCAACCATCTGGCTTAATAGCATCAAAGCAGGTAAAGAAGATAGAGAATCATCAATTTACGTAAACAATTAAACACAAACTCAATTCACATCGTTATCTGGAACTTCACCTACATCAAATCCTAGAAAATGAAAAAAAATCCAAATAACAGAGACGATCGGAGATCGTAATCATGATCAAAATCCGCCACAAAAGCATAATTTAAAAGAAGAAATTAAACGGCCGGATATTAACTACTAACTTCGCCATTATTAGAAGAATGAATTGGAGGACAATCGTCGATCGATCAAACTTTGATATCTCCTCCCTGTTCTTCCACCGGAGTTAGCTCAGAGCGAGAGAGAGAGTGTGTGTGAGTGAGATGAATAGAGATATATATGAGCGGGAATATGAAGCCGTGTTGCAGACCAAGAAGTATGTTTACCGAACCTGAGGTTCGGTAACAGCTTTTTACTTGTACTTTGGCCACCATATTTTTGTGATTTTACAGTTTGGCACCTCATGGTTTTAAACACACTTTGTATTAATCAGGTTAATAAAAAAAATATATAATTATGTATTATTTGTTTTTATAGATTATATATAAATAATGAAATTCAATTTATTTTAAATCTTATAAACGGTTTGACAGTTGTTGAATGATTTGGTACAAAATAATTAAGAGACTTTTATGATATAATGCAAAATGAAATATAATTGTTTGGTAATTATTCAGAATGAAATTAGGGTGTTGAATGATTAAGAGAGACCCGAGGTACAAAATTATTCAGAGAGTTTTATAACCATTAAGAGACAGACTTTTTTTTGTCAAACAAGATTCACATTTTAGCGATTCAAAAATTGTCTCTTAATGAAACTATTAAAAGATAAACAAACAATCTCTTGTAATGCAAACCAAACACATCAAAGATTCCAAAATCTTCTGGAAATCCAAATTTCTCAAAAACATTTCGTAAAAATCAAACATCTGCTTAGTTATATCAGTATTACATATTTATATTGTTACAACTGTGAAAAATATATACAATTCTTTTTAGAGTTTTTGACTTTTGATTCCTTATTTTAGAAAAAATTATAAAGAAACTTTTGGAAATGTTATTTAAGAATTTTTTTATACAACCTTAAATGAGATTTTAATTAAATGCATGTCTTTATGGTTTTATCATGCATATAAAACCGTTTTTTCTCGAATAGTTCAAGAAGTCATTAATTTAATTAAATGACCTAAGATTTAGGGGCTATTTATCAGTTGCTGAATGGTTTGATACAAAATGATTAAGTGGTCGGAATGATTAAGAAGCTATCATGATATAATGCAAATAAAATATAATTGTTTAGTAATTATTTATAATGGAATTAAGGTGTTGAATGGTTAAAGAAGGCTCATGATACAAAATCATTTAGAATGTTTTAGAACCATTTAAGAGGCAGATTTTTTTTTTTGTCAAACAAGATTCAACTCTTAACGATTCAAAAGACTGCATCTTAATGAAACTATCAATAGATAAATAAAACACCTCTTAATTGTCTCTGTCGGAGAATATTCATTGTTTGGACCAAACTTTATACCAATTTTTATGGTTTTCGTGTTATCCGTTGAAGATGTTTTTAGGTATAAACTTGTTGGGTTCCAAATGTAAAAATTTATGAAAATTGTGGTCAAATTGAAACTTTTGAAACCTTAAGGGTCAAAAGTCGAATTTAACATTTATCATCGTCTTATAACACCGACCGAACCTAGCTCCGAAGCTGATCTTGTAGGAACACTGTAACAGTATTTTTTGCTTTGGACAAATATAAAATTACTAAATAATAACTGGAAATGCGGGTCCCACGTAAGACTTGCTCGCCAAGTAAGATTACATGGCAACATGAAAGCGTGTGCTAAATGGAAATTTGAGTTTTTATGCTTAATATTGTTTTAAATTTCAGAAATATGTTTAATGAGTGGTTTTTATTTATAAATCAATTAATCCAGATATTTATCGATAGATACAGATTTAGGGGTTATTTGTTTAACTCTTAATAATTCTATTAAGAGGCAGTATATGAATCGTTAAAAGATAAATCTTGTTTGGCAAAAAAAAAAATCTGTATCTTAATAGTTCTAAAATTCTCTGAATGATTTTGCATCGTGTGTCTCCCTTAACCATTCAGCGCCCTAATTTCATTATAAACAATTACCAAACAATTATATTTCATTTTGCATTATATGATGAGAGTCTCTTAATTATTTTGACCACTTAATCATTTTGCACCAAACCATTCAACAACTATCAAACAACCCCTTAATAATTTTATATAAAAAATGAATATGTGGATACGTTTCATAAAATTATCACTCGTCTATTGGTTAGTTTTTTGTTTTCTATATATGAAATTCACCCAAATAGAATTGAAACCTGAGACCACGGTAGGAGAAAAGTCATGCAAACCAACTCCATCAAAAAAAAATTATGTCATTATTGTATTATCGAAATATATATGGTTGCACATAACAAAATGATATGGTGGCATCTTTCCTAACCCTATAATCTTTTACACTGTGACGGACGAACCAAATGGTGGCCCGTGCCATCGATTGATGTAGAGTGGGTATGTCCCTATTTATGGAAATGATAAAGGTTCATTTATTGTGATTTGAATATTTATGAAAGATAACCAAAGTATATTTATTATGATCAATGTTTTATATTATGAAACAACTAAGAGCCATTGAATCAGATATTTATTATGTTAGATGAACGGTTGAGATTGGTTTGTATAGTTTATACTAATAGCTAGTTTGTAAATGAAAACCCACCTCTATGTATTTTGTGCAACACTATACCGAGATATGACATGACTGAGTGAGACAAAATGTATTTTCTTTTTTCCTTTATGCCGCCAAAATAGGCAGAACAAAATCAAGAAGATGAGACAAGATTAATAAATTACTAAACTGCCCTCAACAAAATTAAAACTCTAAAATACTGCACAAATTCAAATGTCGTTAATATTACAGTATGTCGATGTCAATTTATATGGGCGCAGGTACAACTCGATCGAAATTGACTTGCCTATGAATAACATTGTCTATTCAAACATGTGAAAGTTGGTTTTTAAACCAAAATACACAAAAGTTAACTGAAACAACCTAAATTTTGTCAAGTCACTGAGTAGATCGAGCCCTTCATTGTCCCCATCTGTTGGTTGTTGCCTTCGACGAGTTCTTCCAAAACTCATAACTCCTCGAGTTTGTAAAAAACCCGTTTAATTCGGTGAAGCCGTCTTATTTCATCATAAATTTTTAGTACTGTAATTTGATTATTATTTTGGTACTCCCTCTGTCTCAAATTAAACGACCATATTTTTATTTTAGTTTGGCTCAAAATAAATGACCACTTTTAAAAATAAGTTTCTCACTTTCACATTCTACCCTAATAGGCATGATAATAGGGCGGGATGGGGCGAGTTTTCTAATCCCGGCCCCGGTCCCCGGTGGATATGGGAATTAATATCTCGTCCCCGATTTATTTTCTAGTCAAACCCCAGTTAAACCTCAATCCTCGTTCCCAGTCAAGAGTTAATTTTAGAGAATAAATAATATATATATATATAGAGAGAGAGAGAGAGAGAGAGAGAGAGAGAGGGGATGTTTACTTTTCAAACCACGTTACTTGTACAATGCTCAATCAACCAATCATAATTTTTCATTTTGTTCATTTGTTTTGTAACTATGAGAGATTGATTAATCATTTTTATTGTGGAGGGTGTTAATCATGGATATTATCATCTTTATTATTTTAATTTTAGATAAATACATGAAACAGTTTCATTAAAATTTCATTAGGTATTATATAAAACAATTTCATAATCATATATGAAACAACTTCATCAAAAAAAGTATTATAAGAAACAATTTCGCAAGATTAAACAATGAAATCCACGGATGAGACTGGTTTGCATGGTTTATACAAATTAAGTAGTTTACATTTAATCTTTCCTATATACATATACACATATATATATACTAGAAGAGTACTCGCGCAATGCAGCGAGATACATCGTGTTTTTAATATTTCATTTTATTCTTTATCTCAGTCGATGTTATAATATGACTTTATGTGATTTTGAGAAAGCGATGATGTTTTTATTTTTGAATAAAAT